TGACCAATCACAGTCGAATGTGAGAAGAATAATCGACTGTGATTGGTCAATTTCTTACTCTTACTTCTTACTCCGTGTATTGTAGACGACGCCTAAGGTTACACAATGTAAATATGCAAATAAAAATAAATAATGTAATAAGAAAACAAAGAAAAACAAAAAATGTGCAACCGTATTTCTAATCAGTAATTTTGTTACAGTTTGTAATATTTTATATTTTAATAGGTTAAAATAAAGATTTCATTATTATTTTAACTTCTAATACTGTTTTTATTAATCATCTCCTATGAACGTTGAATTCCACGCGTATAGAATGGACCCTACGTGATTGGTTGACAAAATATGTCCCCCCCACTCTCTGCCGCCATTATGCGCAACGACACACCTTGTATAATTCCACCATGGAGAGTTCTAGACAGTCTTGAGTCTAGTGCAGAATCATAGCGAATTTGGTAGCTTGCACTATACTAGGCCGGTATTCATAGTCAGCTCTTATTTTAAGATCGTCTTAAGTAATGTCTTAAGTCGCTAATGCGGCCCTCTGATTGGTTCATGACATCATAAGACTGTACTTAAGACGGTCTTCAATATAAGATCTGACTATGAATACCGACCCTAGATCAGTGCATACTAAAAGCTGCTTTACATGAAATTAACAAAGTTAAATGTAAAAGTATATAAATATTTTAAACGATTAACTATCTACTAATGATATAGTCACGTTATTTCACAAAATATATATGTATAATTTTATTGTCAAAGTTGATTATATTGTATCACTGCATTGTGATATTTTATGTAAAGCAGCTTTTAATATGCACTGATCCAGTGTAGTGCGTGTAATCGAATTCACCATCAGAAGACAGACTACATGTCTACCTTGCATCATTCCATGCTGTATACAGTCAAGCCTAAGGTGTAACGGACGTAATTTTAAAGTTCAAGAAATTCTCATAAGAAATTTGTAAGCATGACCGACAACAAAAATGATAAGACAAAAGTCGATCTCGGATTGCTCGAGGAAGACGATGAGTTTGAAGAATTTCCCGCGGAAGGTAGTTTTCTTAATTGATATATATTTATGTAACATAACGTCGAAATCGCTGATTCATCGGTATCAAACACATTGACAAATCAAATTTGGAAAATAAATTTATTAACTAGATTGGACCGCAAAGGATGAAGACAGTGATGATATCAGTGTCTGGGAGGACAATTGGGACGATGATGACGTTGAAGATGACTTCAATCAACAACTGAGGTATTGCTTTGCCATAAATCCGTTTATTGAACAAATTCCACATATATATATATATATATATATATATAGAACAAGGAGGGGCAATAACATTTGATAAATAAAAAACGTTGTGTAATATATTAAATGAACATTATGTTATTTTGACCTTGTAAATAGATGAGTGAAGTAATCCAGATGCAGGATTTTTTTCTAAATATTTTATCTACAATTGTCGCTATCGTTAACTAGTGACAGTCGCATTTTCTTCAAGGATTATCCTGTCATTGGCTATCGCTAATTACCCTGGTGAAAATTTTTCTCATAATTTTTATACAAATTGGAATATTTTTCAGAAATACTCAGAAATACTCAGAAATATTTGGAAAGTTTACATCTTCCCTCTGAATTTTTCATACAATTCTGAAATATTCTAAAATTTCTCATCCCATAATTTTTAAAAAGTATTTTTAAATTTTTTAGATTTTATAACACTTCATCAGAAATTATATTTACCAAATATCTTAAAAATCTTACGATATTTCATAATTAACATATATGAAAAATTTTGAGGAAAGACGCAGATTTTCTGAGAAATGTAAATCTAATTTGTATAAAAAAATGTGAGAAAGTTAAAAATTATAGAGAAAAATTATATGAAAAATTCTGGGAAAAAAATTTTTACCCTGGTAATGATAGCGACAATCATCGATAAAATGTTTAGAGAACTCTGGTATAGTATGGTTTTCTTAAATCTGTTTTGTAATGGAAAATATGAAATATTGCCTAAAAATATTAAGCTGATTCTACAATAAGTTGGTAGTTGATAATCCTAAGTCTTATTGATGAATCGGTGAAGTTGGCCAACAGCCAACTTGTACAACTAAGACCGATTTTCTTAAGACTGACCAAATTCGACTTTATTCCTTCCCATTAGTAGAGCTAAATGATTTGTTGTACAACCAATAACTAAGTAGATGCGAAAAATTATAGTCATCTATTTAGGTTAAAACTGGTTCAGACTTAAAATTCCGACTACTGACTCATTGTAGAATCAGCATTAAAACTCCTTATTTTTACATTCTTCTGTCTCATATAATGTAAAATTCTATGGCCAACATTCATAAGATCCAGTTTTTATATTTAAAATTATCTTAAATCTAAAGCCGTAATCACACTAGCGATTGGCGATTGTGATTGACGATTAAGGATTACTTTTCAACCAATCAGAGCCTGAAAATCACCGATTTCTTTGCTCCGATTGGTTGAAAAGTAATCCTCAATCGTCAATCACAATCGCCAATCGCTAGTGTGATTACGGCTTAAGGGCCTCTTTCACCTCTGGCTAAATTAATCGATGATCAACTCGCAGAAGTGCCAACAGCAGTTTAATGTATCATAATGTCTCCTCTCTTTTCCTCTTCTGTGGTTAGCTCTTACGTTGGCAATCATGGTGATTGAGTTAACCATCAATTAGCGTTAATCGATGTTGATGAAAGAGGCCCTAAGCATCATAAACTAATTGTAAGGCTATATATATATATATATATATA